GTTCTTGAAAGGTGATGATTTCCACGTTGTATGGAACTTCAAAGGCTTACGGGTTCTTAATTTTTGTGATGCTTATGTTGACTGCTTGCCAGATTCAATTGGTAGGTTAAAACATTTGAGATACCTTGATATTTCAAGAACTTGGGTAAGTAGACTACCGAAGTCCATTACCCAACTCTACCATTTGCAGACATTAAAATTGCTGAGTTGTGATTCTCTTAAAAAATATCCTAAAGGAATGAAAAATTTAGTTAGCTTGAAGCATTTCTATATCGATTCTAGACGTCATTTTCCTGATGAGATCGGATGTCTAACTGGTCTTCAAACTTTGCCAATATTTGATGTGGGTACAAAAGGGAGATGTGGAATTGGGAAATTGGGATGTTTCACTGAACTTAAAGGAGAATTGGCCATATTTAATCTCCAGAATGTTAGAAACGAAGAAGAAGCTAGGGAAGCTAAACTGTGGGAGAAGGTAAAGTTACACAAGTTGAGTTACGAATGGAAGTACTCTAGAAGTGAAGGTTACTACAATATTGATCAGGATGTATTGGAAGGATTGAAGCCTCACTTAGATCTGAAAAACTTAATGATTGAGAATTATAAGGGAGAGCAGTATCCCTCGTGGTTGGCAAGGAAGAGCTTTAGTGGTCCAAGTGCTTGTTTTCAGCCCATCAATTTGGTGGAGTTGACTCTATCAAATTGTCCGAATTTAAAGAGTGTTCCAAGTCTGGGGCAATATCCCAATCTCAAATTTCTTGAAATGCATGCTTTACGAAATGTGAGTTGCATAGGAAATGAGTTTTATTTTGATGGCAATTGGTGCAATAGTGGTGATGAGAAGATGCCAATCCCATTATTTCCAGCATTGGAAAAGTTCACCTTAGGGGGTTTGAAAGAAGTAAAAAAATGGTTAGATGTGGAGCCAGCAATCCCCGTGTTTCCTTCACTAAAAGAGTTGCAAATTGAACGTTGTAACAAGCTAAGCAGGATTCCAAGAATGAGTAGATTTTCTTCGCTGGAGAAACTCACTATTCAAGGGTGCGAGGAGTTGAGTTGGACAGGGGATGAACTATTTTCCTCTTCTCTAAAAAAATTAGATATAGCTTATTGTGGGAGCTTAAAATCCATTCCAAGTGTAGAGGGTGGTATCTCTTTTCTTCAAGAGCTTCGGGTGCGGGATTGTGACAAATTATGTAAAATAGAAGAGGGACTACTTGCCTCCACATGTCTAAAACAGGTAAACATTAGCGCATGTCCTAATCTGATATCCATTCCTCTAAACGGACTATCTGCATGCACCAGGCTTGAAAAAGTAGTGATAGAAGGTTGTCCTAATCTGATTTCCATTCCCAGTTTAGATGGCTTCTCCACTCTTTTAAGTTTAACGCTGCGTGGATTAACAAATCTGGAGTCAATTCCAGGAGAGAGCATTGACTGCCTCCCCCTTTTGAAGTCATTGGAATTGGGTCCCTTCTCAGAAGAGCTTGAGGAATTTCCACTTCTCAGTTCCATCCCCAACCTCCGCTCTTCCCTTCAACACTTGATATTGAATGGATGGAAAAAACTAAGCTCTCTGCCACATCAACTTCAACACTTCACCGCACTTGAGAGATTAGAGATACGGCACTTCAATGGGGTGATAGCTTTGCCAGAGTGGTTGGGAAACCTCTCCTCTCTTCGAGGATTAGATATTTGGTATTGTGAGAATCTAATGCGTTTGCCCTCTAAGGAAGCCATGCAACGCCTCTCCAATTTGCAGCTGCTTCTTACCTGTTATTGTCCGCGATTAAAGAAAAATCGGGCCGAGCTATCCAAGATCTCCCACATTCAAAATGCCTACATTCATTAATTGGAGTCCAAGGACGACGCTTCCAAGAGGTACTATAATTTTCTTAAGCCTATAGGCTTCGGCTCCTCATCTTCTAGCGTTATCATTTCATTCAACAATTCTTCCTATTCAATCTGCAACTCCTTTGTTTTTTTTTTTTTTTTGTTTCCTTCTAATTTATCGATTTTTCTCCATTTTTTTGTTTTATTCTTTTTCATGGGTTTAAGGACTGATATTGTAGAATGTATCTGACCCACTATTTCAATAGAAAATGTAAGTTAAAGTTTGGCAAATATGCTTCTATAATAGTTTCAATGCTTCCTGCGTTTACTTTTTGAGCAAAGCTGCAAAAAATCAACTATTGTCTTTCTTTCCTTTTATTTCTTTCTTTATTTATTTATTTACTGAAGCTTTATTTTGAATAAAAATTTTTGCAAATATGAGTTTGTAAATCTGCTAATCTCAAAGCGACAACCAAAAACAAGTTTACCAATAATAGAAAACTGTAGTTAGGTTTCTATTTGAATGGCAATCTCATTCTGTCTTTTCCCCATATAATAAGCATTTACTTTTGCTTATCATCGTCCCTTTTTTTTTTTATAGGAATTTTACAAACATGATGTAAGCCCATTTTTGCGTCTAGTTATCTTGGCAATTCTTTGGGGATTTTATTACCTTATTATAGGTATTTTACATCATCCTAATGACAAAATTTCATGCCTTTCTTTGTACTGTTTAGATTTGATGAAGAACCCATTGGACCACATGGGGACCAATGTAGCACCAGAATTTCAAATCACACTGCAAAAGTTCTTTGTCCCTTTGTTTCACTTTATTCTAATGACAACAACTGATGACTTTCTTTGTACAGTTTAGTTCTGATGAAGAACCCAGTTGACCGCATGAGGAACAATGTGGCATCAAATTTTCAAATCACACTGCAAAAGTTCGCTGTCTCTTTTTTTCACGCCATAAATTTGGGTAAGTTATATTTTTAATCCAATTGTCACTTGTATTCTTGTTTTTCATCCCTCTCTTGGGAACTTCTCACATTTTGATATGTTAAAATATAATACCCGTGAACTTAAATAATTTAAAGAAGTTTCCCCATCCAAACTGTCATAACGTCTAGATCCGGAGATCTATCGCTAGACATTGACTTTCAAGGAGTCATCACCAATCTTTTTTTTCTAGGTGCGATGGGCACCTAAGGAATCTGTCCTTGTCAGGGAACACCTAAGTTTAAGAAGTCCCTAGAAGAATAGGTTCAGGGTCTACAAACCAGAACAAGTTCGGGATTCGGTACGTGTGAGGAAGGTATAGCACCGCTCACAACGCCCATCAAAAGATGGTACCAGCTTAAATTTGTGTTATCCAAAAGCCTTAAAATTTTACCAAGTAATTAATTATTGAAAATTATTCTCAATTAACTCTAATACTTTTAGCAGAAAATTGAGAAAATTTCCTCACCTCAGGAGTATGCAAGAAAAACTACTGTTTCACTTGCAGAGGCTCCATCGTCGGATTATTGAAAAAAAAAACAAAATCAAAATTAAGATAGAAAGGAAGGAAGGAAAGAATGATTTTTTTTTTAGAGAAAATTGATACTTTCAACTTTTCCCCAAAAATATTTTTTGGAAATTTCGATTTTCAAGGAAAATTGATACTTTCAACTTTTCCTCAAAAACCCTTTTTTTGAAAATTTATTTCTAAGGAAAATTGATACTTTCAACTTTTCCCCAAAAATATTTTTTTTTGAAATTTTGATTTTAAGGAAAATTGATACTTTCAACTTTTCCTCAAAAATCTTTTTTTTTTTAAATTTATTTTTTTTTTTGAAAATTTATTTTTAAGAAAAATTGATACTTTCAACTTTTCCCCAAAAATAAGTTTGGAAAGCTTTTTTTTTTTAAGAAAAATTGATACTTTCAACTTTTCCTCAAAAATATTTTTTTTGAAATTTTATCATTTTATTTTTTTTTATTTTTTTTGAATTCACTCAAAAATTAATATATAAATAATAGGCAAAACAACAAAAAAAATATCAAAATAAAACACACCTTGACTCAGGATTGTAACTTGACTTCACACATAAGAAACTGTTCGACTTGTAGCTCAAGCTCCATTTGCTGATGTGGGCTAACGGCTCGGGTGGCAATGGAACACAGGCCATCGTTTCAATTTCTGCCCCTTTTCTAAAGTTTTTAGAAATACATAGCTGCAAATTCCCAAAGGTTTCCAGATTCTGGTGCCAGTGTCGCCCCATGCCTCCATCACTGGTCGCCGTCACTGATATCCGTTGACTGTCGCTCCCCGACCTTCATCCAATTACCAGTTTGCTTTGAAACCTTCGGCCGAACTAGTCTTGGCCTTCTCTTTCACGTATTCTAGCTGGAATTTATGAAAAAAAATCCTGGAATTGGTGTAAATTCGAGATCAAAATCGCAGTCTACCTTTCTAGAGACCAAAGCCTCATCGTCAGAGATAAGCTGGTCTGCCCATTCAGGAAAATCAAGAAAACCTGGATCTGTAGACCAAGAACCATTATTTTCTTTATTGTAATGACTCGATATTGTAGATTGAGGCAGTGCTGAATTTGACGATTGTAGTAATGGCAACGCTGTAGCATTAGTTGGTGACACTTCACTATTGGGGGGTACACGAGTTGCATGGACCAGAGGCCTTGTCATCAGTTCCCTTTTTGCGGACATCGGTTGAGTGTCAGGCAACTTTAAATATGTCTTTTCCAAATGTGTTGAAACAGCTGGTAAAGATGATGTCATTCCTCCAAACACCCCCAGGTTACCGGGCTACCTTGCACCTGGTCTCTGAATGGATAAAGAAGGCCGTGCCTCCATGCCAATAAAAGTTCCCGAAGCCCCCTTGTTACTGCGCTAAATGCCAAAAAAACTAGATAGAAACCTCATAGTATTCAAAACCCACCAAAAAGAATCGAATCCAAAATTTTCACTGCCACCCAGTTGGTTGACGGCCTCAACAAAAGCTTCATGAAGTTCTGGATTGTTGCTGGTTTGATAGTACACTCGTTGGGTTTTTGTGGCAAAAGTGGGTGGCGAAAGTAAAGATAGTTTGTGGTTCTTGCCAGTTGGCTGATGGATTTTGGGGTGTGCTCAAGCAAAATTGGTAACGGGATCAGGGAATATTTTTTGTCAGTTTCTGATCTCTGGATCTTTCTTCCTGTTGCTGCTCCTTAGCTTCCTGTAATTTCTGCAAAAGAGTAATCAGCAATATAAGAGAAAGAATCGAAAGATGAACCAAACACTGTTCACGGTTGCGTTCTAGCAATAAATCAGATGCAGAATTATATTCAGTATCCTCATCAACAAGATAATCAAAGGACGAAGTAAACTGCAGGTCTCCTTTGGACCCTAGAGCCAGTGATGAAGTCGTTCGAACACTGGCAAGAATTAAGTGGAAGAGGCCAGGAGTCCAACCATATACTGGCCAATAAGCAAGAGCTGATGCGCCAAGTTGGCAGACGACTTCAAAACCAGGGACAGAATCAGGATAGGGAGAGGATAAATCAACTGCCCAAGCTGCAAGCTTGGGGCTTACTTCTCCATGCCATCGTAACAATGCCTTTCAGTTTTTCTCCTTTTCCTATTCGGATTCCTCCTACTATTCAGATTTCTCCTCTATTTTTTTTATGTTTTTTTTTCTCTCCTATTCGGATTCTTCTTCTCTCTTTTTCTCCTCCCTCCTCTCTAAAAGGCTGAAGAACTCCGGTTGAATGTTCGTTGGATTCTGGAAAATATCACCGGAATCTGGAAAATTTTCCCCGGAAGTTAGCCGGAAGTTGGTCGGTTTCTGGAATTTTAGTCGGAAACTGGGCATATCGCCGGAAACTTCAAGTTTGATCGAAATATTCACCGAAAAATTCAAACTGCGTCGAAAAATTCAACCGGAATCTGGAATTTTCCAGAAATTCCCAGAAAAAATCACCAAAAATTTCTAAAAAAAATTCTCCTCACTCTCAGAACACTCCTAAACCTTTCTTAGCTTCCTATACGCCTTTTTCTCTCAAATCAGTAGCTTGCTCACTGTTTTCTCTGTCTTTCTCTGTTCCAGGGGATCCCTTTTATAGGGGTTGATCAGGAGTTCCTGATCAATCCCAATTCCTCCTTGGACGGAATTCAGTCTTTGAATCCAACTGGACTCTCTGATTGAATTCCCCTCCAGGTGGGATTCTTCAACTTTGAATCTTAGCCATCCAGAATTAAAATCAAAATAAATAAAAAATACTAGATAATCAAAAGATATGATAGTATAAAAATAAAAAAATAATATCAGATAATTCGGAAAAAAAAAATCAGATAAAATTAACAGATAATAAAAAAAAATAACATAAGATAAACCCAAAAATATATTACAAAAAAAAATGATAATAATAATAATAAATATATAACTATATACATACAATACATATAAATCTAATCTAAATAAAAATAAATACACAAAGATATACATAATAATAATAATAATGAAATACATAAAATACAAAAGAAGAAAAAGAGAAAAAAAAATACAGGATTGAAATGGGCCTTACCCATTTGAGCCAGGCCCAATTGATCTGGGCCCGGACCCAATTGGGTGTCTACAGCTGCCCCTCTTTGCACATTTTCTGTGAAACAGAAATTGCGCAAAGACGTAGACACCCAATCAAGACTCAACTCAACATTTTTATTTTTTGATTTTTTTTTTTAAAATTTTTGTTTTTTGTTTTTTGTTTTTTGTTTTTTTTTGTTTTTTTTTTTTTTTGCCGAAGTTCCTCTAAACAGAGGCACCGCGACTTTGGAAAAATAAATTGCTCCTCTCAACAGAGGCACCACGACTTTGAAAAGTAAATTGCTCCTCTAAACAGAGGCACCACGACTTTGAAAAGTAAATTGCTCCTCTCAACAGAGGCACCACGACTTTGGAAAAGTAAATTGCTCCTCTAAACAGAGGCACCACGACTTTGGAAAGGTAAATTGCTCCTCTAAACAGAGGCACCACGACTTTGGAAAGTAAATTGCTCCTCTCAACAGAGGTACCACGACTTTGAAAAAATAAATTGCTCCTCTAAACAGAGGCACCACGACTTTGGAAAGGTAAATTGCTCCTCTAAACAGAGGCACCACGACTTTGGAAAGTAAATTGCTCCTCTCAACAGAGGTACCACGACTTTGAAAAAATAAATTGCTCCTCTAAACAGAGGCACCACGACTTTGGAAAGTAAATTGCTCCTCTAAACAGAGGTACCACGACTTTGGAAAAAAATTGCTCCTCTAAACAGAGGCAACGACTTTGAAAATAAATTGCTCCTCTAAACCGGATCCTAAACGAGGTTGAAATAATCAAAACAAATTGAGTATCAACAAAGAAATTGTCTCAAATAGATCGTACCACGCTTGTAAAAGTAAATTGTCCTCTAAACAAGCACCGACTTGGAAATACTGCTCCTCTAAAAGAGTACCACGACTTTGAAAAATAATGCTCTCTAACAGAGCCTGGAATTTGCAAAAAAAATTCTCCTCTAAACAGAGGCAACGAAACTGAAAAAATAAATTGTCCTTTAAACAGAGGCAACAACTTTTGAAAAGTTAATTGCTCCTCTAAAAGAGAGCCCAACTTTGGAAAATAAATTGCATCCTTAAAGGGCAATTTGAGAAGTAAATATCCTAGTATGTCCAAAGGAGGCTAAATTGATTTTGAACATTTCAAAGATCATGCCCAAGGTCTTAAAATCAACCCTGATACCAAAGACATCCTATTTCAAGGATTAGGAACTTACCTAACAAGTTTCTTCTCAAACTTGCAAAGTCTTTTCATATCTGTCTTTTCCATGTGGGATGTTGGAACACCCCTGCTTCTTGAATTTGTACACTATACTTTCCTGAAAGTAGTGTATGCTATGCAAATGCATATGAATTTCAATGCATGCTATGCAAATGTTGGCCAATTAATTCCTGTTTAATGTA